TTTATCTTTTGATCTCACGAACGAGGCCTTTTCATGCGAAACGGATCTCATTTTTGTGACCAGCATGTCAAATAAGCCCCATAGGCCAAGTTTCAGCAAAATCTGATGCATTCTAAAAATTTTCCCATAGTACCGTAAACCTACCGTAATTCTCACATAAGATGGTAAAATTCGGCAAAAATCTGTGCATTAGAAGCTTACATCATATTCCTTATATTGTCAAAAAATGAATACGCTACCTTCAAATAAACAAAAGTTATATAAAAAGTTGCATTACTTATGTGCCAACCTAATACATCAAAGCAAGGAACTTATTAACGATCAAGCAGTGTGCACATTTTTTTGGGACACCCTGTATATATTGCTGCGAAAGAGTTTTTTATAACACAAAAGAAAATATTTTTAACGTCAAAAGTCGAGTTATCTGTGCTGTCGGTGAACAAAAAAGCGTTTTATTTCAAAATGCAAAGAGGGACAGTCGACTTCACAGCTACTCAAATCTTGCAGCATACGCACAGAATTTGAAAGCTGTTAAACTTGCTTCTGACCGTAAATCTTTCCGCCGCGCCGTTATCTCCATGGCAACTGCCATGCCTGCAGCTCACTCAGTTTTCAAGCCACAGTAAACGGCATTCTTAGGGTCATGAACCAGCCGATTTCTAATCCTTTTAGAAAAAATTTGTTGCAGATGGTCGCTTGATATTGTATCCTCCCCTTGTAAAAGCGGCAGTAACTTTTATATAATTATCTATGTATGAGCGCTTCCCCAACACTTATTAATGAACAGACCAATTTGCCAAATTTTCCTTCTGCACATGCCGGTGACTTGCAGTAAAGAGCTGAAAAGTCATTAATAAGCTCGTCCGGACCAAAACGTACTTTTGCCAATCTGTACTCAAAGATAATGTGCTTGAAATTACAGCAATTACAAAAATTCTCTAGCAAGCTTTCTCTATAACAGGATATATAAGTTCTAATATGGAAATATAATTTTATTAGATCTATGAGCTGAACCATCATGTGCATTAACTATATAACTGGCGGCAGCTCAGAATCATGTCCGAGGATTTTACCACCATCCTCATCCCCTCTATTATAATACCACGTAACTAGCACATTAGTATCGTGGCACGCATTCGCGTGAAGAACATTTTAATTTTTGGTCCCAGAGCGAAAGCATGCCACATGGCATTAGAGTAAAGGAACCAGTGAGTATGGGCGTTACAACATGTGATCTATTTTCCGCAAAATACTATGGCACCGATCTGCTGTAGCTCATGGACAGTCTCTATATCAAAAGAATAAGAGTCGCGCTAGGCAAACTCTTCTAATGCGCGTGGGACTGCGATAAGCTTCTACTTAATAGACACTGCACCGCAGCCTGTCAACATCAAGTTCCTAGTACATACGTGTTTGGAGAAGAGAAATTGTGGATGAATATTTTGGTCGTAACGAATCGCGTGCGCTGTTACTTTGGCAGTGCCTTATTGAGAGCCTCCCATATGTCAGATTTGCCTGGACACTTCCTTCAAGCCTACAATCAGGGCACGGCACAGGTGGCTTAGCAAGCAAGCTGGATATCGTTTTTGGGGAAAAAGCAAAGGGGATATCTTTTTTGCGGAAGAGCATAACGTTGTCTTTCGACCTGCGGCCGGCACGCTGCCGGCATGCCGCTAGCAAATAAACAAAAGGTTTGTTTACAGCGAAGTGAGGATGAAATGACACCAAAATAGGTGTGTAGATGGACAATGGGGAGTTAGAACTAAGTATGAAAAATTATGAAAAAATTATGTGAACTAAAGGCGTGCTCAACTTTTTTCGGAGTTAGGTGGCTTTCAAGCCACCTGGATAGCCACCTGAGGTGGCTTAGGAAAGAAAAAGTCATAAATTTTTCCTCCCTCACAATTTTTCTACTTTCCTTACATACTTTTCATCTACATCCCAAACCCTACAAACTGGTTCCTAAGCCGCCTCAAACCCCCTTCTCCCTGCTTAGTTATAGCTCCTTGAAAGTTTTGAATGGCCGCGGAAAGGCTGCTCTAGGCGCGTATTGCTGCACGATGGATACATCATGCCGCCATTCCGGAGAATATGAATATCATCGCGTGTGTTCGATGATTCTTTTTCGTTTTTTTTGCTGTTGCTTTGTTCCGTTCCTTTTCATGTATTTTCTCTTCGAATATCTCGTGGCGGATATCGTAATTTTATTGAAGTCAAAGGGGACTTCATTTTTTGCAATTTCGGGACGCCATCTCGTGCCGAGCCCTGATCTAGGGTCAAAGGGGACTGCGTAAAAATTCGCAAAAGTCAAGGGGGACTTCGTTTTTTGCATTTTCAACTAGCCACCTCGTGCCGAGCCCTGCCTACAATGTGCGGTCAACTTCCACAAATGTACGAGGTCAGCTGGTGAATTGATAAATGATGTTATACCCATACAATACTTGACTAGCGTTTTGTATGTTGGCCCAAAAAGGATAAGTCGTCGAATGTGAACAAAGTTGTCAGACATAATGCGTGTGATGGAGCGTGTGTTAATAAGCCATTTTGTTGGAGACATATAGATTGTTCCCATCGACTTAGTGTTTTTTTTGCAGTTTCCGTGATATCCGTCGCTTAGAATGTTGAATCAGAATAAACTGATAAAACCGAAATCACGTAATCAGTTTCTATGCGTAGGTCATATTGAAGCAATTCCTGCAAAACGGCAAATCTTCAGATTTTTACATTTCTACATATAGAGTAAAGCGAAAGATTTACGAGGCACCGAAGATGCTGAGCACCGGACGAACCTGTTGCGTAGCGGCAGAGATCGGCTGGCATTTTGTATTGAAACACAAGTAGAGCAGCTAACCGCATCGCGTGGTTGTGCAAGACCTCAGCATCTATGGTCAATGACAAAGGAATGCTGGGTTCATACTGGTTCTGCAACCGCCCGCATGCGGTCAGCGGCGTGAAATAGGAATTCAAATTTCTTTGACGGTTTTCAAGTTTGCTCTTTTTCACCTCATTCATGTGTGTCGCTTGCTCTTGTGATTGAAAAAGTTCCGGAGAAGGGTGCAAGAATGAGCGCAATTTCGTTGTGTGCATCGTCTAAAAACTGTCACAAACTCATGCCGCTCATTCGTGCACATTTCTCCAAGTTCGGAGTTTCTCATCAGAGGCGAAACGTCAAAAACGAAAGAGCAAGTGATAAAACTTGTGAAAAGAAATGGGTTAAAACGCCCAAAAACCCTATATCATGTATATCACCCTATTATCGCAATCGTGATGGATGTATCAGTCCTTTCTGAAAGCAGCTGAAGATCTCGAGGACGCAGCGACTCTCTGAAATACAGAAAGCGCGTTTAATAGAAAATTCACGAAGGAGAAGGGGCGTGCAAATGAATATATATAATGTACGCAAGACGTGACATGGAAAAGTTCCATTTTAGGACCCCGTTTTGAGTTCTTAATCTTGTACACTACAAGAAGAAGCAAGATGCGAGAATGAGATGAAAATGGACACGTTAACAATCAAAAATGTCGAAGAAAGTCAAAAATTGTCATTTCGCGTCGCTCGAAACCGCATGCAGCACTGTTCCGGCACAGTTCCAGCACAATGCGTGAACTGTGCTTGCGTTCCGGAACTTTGGGATCAGTATGAACCCAGCCGATAGGAGAATTTAAAAGTTGAATGAAATAGTGGGGTCTGGGCTATAGTGGCAGCATTTTCTCATTATACTGTGCAACTCACCTACTTTGTGGATGTTCTTGTATAAGGCACTCCAGATTTTCTTTTGAGATCATTTTTCTCTCTAACATCTAAAACTTGTTTATCATTTCTTGGATGTTATATCGCGTTGGTTTGATTTAAATCAAATAAAAATACTGAGATTTATGTTCATTGTGCGAAATTGTATCACATCAAATATTAGGTTGTAAAGAATTCTGCCAATTGTTCTCGTAAATACCAAAAATGAATGCGAATGCAAAGGGCTGGTTTGGAATGTGTTCTCAGTGTGCTATGGCCCTAGCTACCTAATACGCTATTCATCTCGAAAAAATGACAATTAGGAAGAAATGTCCAAAAAAGGAGAAAAATCCATTGCGCTCAGATCTGGGAAAAGGCACATTTCCCAGGTTATGGACGCGCAGAACTTTCAGAAGCTTGATATGAAAATCCGTTTCAAAATCTGTGTTGGCTAGGTGAAGCAATACTCGGCAATTACTTGCCCCGGTATATGGGTCTTTTTGCAAGGAGGAAATAACTCATTGAAATCAGGGTTCAAAAAATCGAACTCCCCACATGTTTTGAAACGCAGCCAGCGCGCTATTAGGAAAAGAGCATCTATGACATATCTAAGCAGTAGTCTAAGGATGTCATAACCAATATATCGCTAAATGACAGCCACTCATGATGAAGACATGAATAAAACGATTTAGCTCACCGTCTATTGGCAGAACTTTCTTTACAACCTAATAGTATGCGCCAAAAAAAGACGGCGCTTTGGTAAGTAAAGGTGACTTCCAGGTTTTTGTGGTTTTGATGCCACATCGTTGTCGTCCTGCAATCCCTCTGTTCTTGGAATCTCTTTAATACAACGCCTAGGACTCGATCTCCCACATCTCAGCTAATCTTAGATGAATTTCCAGTTTTGGACACAACATATATCGCAAAAAATTGTGTAGTAAACAACCGCTTTGAAATATTTTTCTGCTCATGTACCTAGCTTGCTTTATTGTAAGAATTTCCAATGTTCTGTATGTTGACAAATGACGCTTGATAAAGCCAAAGCAGGTTTTACGAAGGCGACATTTCACTATGAAAGTCTGGGCAATTTCAGCGAAATAAAAGCAGCAGGAACACTTTTCTGCAAAATGTTTGCTTTTATATCAACGGATAATCCCTTCAATTGCTGCCATCCGATGGTTTATTGATCGTCTTAGCCATAATGGAACGCAATCGCCTCGTCTTTCAAATCGGTTTGTATTCGCATAATGGCAGTCTGTTACTTTTCTAGAAGCAGAAGTGGAAAAAAGTTCTACTGTGTTTCAACAACCGCACATGGTACTAATTTGGTTGGTTTGCTTCGTAAGTTGCACAGCCGCTGCGTCTTCTCAACAATACATCGCAGTCCGTGGGCGGTTGGTTTGTGGAACTACGCCATTATCAAACACTACAGTGAAGCTTTCTCGTAGGCAATTGATAGGTTAGCGACTCGCAGCCCAATATTCGGCGTGTGCGAAAATTGCTTTTCTAATATAAGCTAAAAACGCAAGCCATTTTAGGTAGCAGCACAATTGCGGAAACGAGGACTCGTCATGACGGTTCTTTTCAAGTTGAAGGGGGATTATCATCATTGTTTACTATGGATGCGCGTCTGAAGATAACTCACAATTGCAAGGACAGATGGGTAGGTCATGAAGAGTGTCATAAACATATCTTAACACACTCTAAGGCCCCGTATGCATCAACATCCCTTTGCGAGAAGTTTCGTCCCAGTGATAAAAAAGCCGTAGTAGAGTGTTCGCCCGCGATTTCTTCATAACGTGGAACGAACGCTCCCCTCGCCGCAGGAAAGTCAATGCATACGGGGCTAATTGTCATTGGTGTAGTCGTCATCATCCCAATAGACGCTCGGCGGTCATATTCGAATTTGATCCGTTGAACTAACTAACTTTTTGGTCTTGTGCTATTTTCTGTGTTCAATAATATTCTTAGGCAAAATTCAAAATTTGCTTGTTAATGAGTGATGTTATCTTGCTACTGTTTGCTGTCCTCGTTTCTTCAACTCCTGAGCTGAAGAGACGATGCAGATAGAATTTTGAGTAAAAATTTAGAACCCAATGATTCGATACATGACACTTACCGGACAAAAATTTGCGAGCAAAGATTTTATAGCTGCGCTTTTTCTAGCGTACCTCAAACAGAGTTGAAGGAACAAGAATAGCTACATGGAAAACCTCGTAACGACAACGGAGTAGCAAATTTTCGCCACGAACATTGTTAAAAGACAAGCAACAACAGTAGTACGCAAGACAAAAAAGAAAACGCGTGTGTGCTTGAGGGATTAGGTCGTGCTTCACCGCAGCCAACCTCCTTTAGTTTAGATTAGAATTTGATCATGGAGTGTCTTGTGGGCTGAAGACGATCTTACTCCGTCAACTGGATTTTGAAGCCATAAAGGCTACCGCATGACAAGGCGCGGGAGCAGCATTAGCTGAGCGGGCGCGAACTCAACGCGCGCGTATCTTCACCGTTGTCCTGCGCCTCATGCGCTCCGTGGATAATAAAGCCGCGTTCGCGTCCAAAAATTTTGCGCCTTCGTTATGCAGCAGGCTATACATAAATGCGCAATTAAATGCAGAGATGTGCTGGGAACTGAAGTATTGCAGCAGTACTTTTTTGCGATAGCCTACATGTTTTACAAGAAATGAAGTAGCTGTTATGGGGTGCATTTACATATTACTTAGGACGGTCAAGAAAGCAATATAAGGTCCACTGCCGGACGAAAGCGCGAAGATGTAGGAGCACAAACTCGGTTTTATCAGCCTCGCCACATGAGGCAAGGTTTACAAAGGTGCAGCTACTTAGAGGTTCGCTCCCGCCTAACTGATATTCTCTTGCACCTTCTTAGAGCAAATCGCTAGCATTTTTGTATAAATACGCTATCTTACGAAATGACTGTTTTTTTGAATTTCGAAATCAAACCTTTTTGTTGGCATAGATTGATTTCTAAGCCAACAAAAAGGACAAACACTCTTTATGTCACTACAGACTATTTTTTTTTCATGTAGCTTAAGTCCGGTATTGCAAAAATTTTTCCTTTACACAGTATTAACAGGAATAAGTACTGAAACGCGAAAGTAAGAAGTTGGCTAAGGCCATCTTCCTCCTATGGGTTGTATACAGTTTAGTTCTCAACTTAGTGTTTACAGCCATGTAAGCGGAAAGTGGACATAAAGATGCCTCGTCTCTATATTTATCGCGGAAAGGGACCATTACAGTGGCTTGAAGCTGGCACACTTGATATGGCCTTTAACTACCCAGACGAGAAGCAGTTTTGCACTAGACCCGGAGTGAATCGATGATTGTATCGGGACGTAAAGGAAGTTCGCAGATACTTTCGGAAAATCTCTTCACATTGTTACTTTAAGCATTTGTTCTTTTGAAAGACGCAAAGATCTCTTGATAAGCTAATATTATCTACTGGACACTTTACTTCATTGAGTTAGCACTACCCGGCATCAGCATAAGCAGAAGGAAAAATTGTTGCTTACAAATTCCAGTTTGTGCTAATTTATTTCGGTAACGCTAAAGTGCTCTATTTTCTGTTTGATGGCATGTCATAATCTTTAATCACTTGCGAACATTTTCTTCTAACAATGAAAGCGTGTCTAGTCGAAGTGGCGTTATTAAATGAGACTCTTACCACTTTGAAGAGCATTGCACGGTGGCTCCAAATCTGCCTTCATTATCTGCCAAGCGCCTTTGGACGCCGATTATGACCGTTTTTTGGAACGAAAATTGAGTGCAGAATTTAGGTAGAAACAATTGTTACAATCTTTCTAGCGCTCGGATAAAATGTTAAGTGTTAGCTTACTAGACAGAATGTATCCATTGCATGAACTGCTCTGACACTCGAACCGGACCATTTGAGCAAATTTAGGTGATTTTGCTCCAGTTTTGCATTCAGTTTTTTGACTCGAAAAACGCCCATATCCCGGCGTCTAGAGGCGCTTGGCAAATAACGGAGGCAGATTTAGAATCACTGTGCATTACTCTCCAAAGCAGTATGGGTCTCATCTAAACTCAGGCCACTTCGACTATACACGCTTCCCTTGTAAGTTCGAGAATTCGGCCAACTTGTGCAGCAAAAAATGCCTCTCAACGAGGTGAGTTTACAGTTGTTCGTTCCTGCACGTAGTGACCCAATACTTTGACAGCTGCAAATGCTGCCTGGGTGATGTCCTCCAGAACCTTCCAGAAACTGTCATTAACACGTTGACGACGTGCCATTTTTGAGATCTACCCCTGTGAACGAAAGATTTCCGTGCATTCCTACGCCTGGCCGCATGTATGTATGCACGAAATATAAAATGTGCAAACCCCGCCCCCTGTGGCAAACCCCGCCCATTCCGCCAAAAATGTCGGAAGTTGCCTAAGTATAAGAATTCGTGCGAATTTCGCCACTTTGAAAACTGGACGGCGGCTTGCCACTTAGGGACGGAGTTGGTCTGACGGTGGGTTTGGCCCGGCTAAACGTTGATTCAGGTCTTTGCGTTCATCTACGGCCTCATCCATGCTTTTTATACTCAAAAAGGGTCCTTTTGAGAGGCATAGGAGTGGCGAAGTTTGCCAAAAGTGCCACCACCCGAACTTCCGGTTTGCTTTTATGAATTATATAAAGATCGTTCCTTGCTGGCAAACGAGGGGGCATGGGTACTTCTCCATAGAGTCTATGCTAGCACAAGATAACGTGCAGCCGAGATACAAGTCATGCAAGCTTATTATCACATTGTTACTAATTACTTTTCTTAGTAAGTCGTTTAGACTGGGCCTAGGACGACGTGGTGATTTGTTATTTGTTGCTGTTGTGTTCCATGTATGACTAACACTTTATTGTTTTTGATTTGGAACGCCTCGAGCGTATGAATGAAATGAAAATGAAATGAAATGAAAAGTGGCGGGGCTAATACATGAAGTACATCTGATACTATGTTGATTATGAGAACACAAGAGAGGATTGGGCAGATAGTTTGAATTCAAGGCCGCCGCGCACCATTGCGCGGCGTCGTCCACAGAGGCAGACTGCCTGCCGTGCACCATTGCGCGACACTTTCGTCAACGTGTTAAAGCTCAGCCTAGAGGGAGTAAAATGCAGGAAGTGGAGTTCAAATCTGTCCAGGAACTTTCTTGCACTATTGACACGTACCTCGTTTCGTATTTCCTTCAACGAGTGCTTTGAGTTGTTATTGGGTATGTATTATATGTCCTCTCAGAAGGTATTGAGGTCTAAGTAATATTCTGGTCTTACCAATGCTATGTCTATTTATTTTTCTGACATTGTGATTGCTTGCTTTCCATAAAGTATTCAATGAAATCACTCAATCATGCACTTCAAATTGAAAACGTACTCGCACACGTAATCATGCGGCTTGATAGTGTTCGGAATAGTATCATCAACTGGTCCTTTTGAATTTTATGCCAACTTTGTTTGAAAATGAATGACTAGCGACCTCTACTGAGTGATACAACAACAAAAATCACTGAAAGGCTTGCATCAGTCTGAAGCAGTGGCGTACCGAGGGGGGGGGGGGCGGGGTGGCGCTCCCTCCTCCTCCCCGGAATGGGTCGCGAAATTTTTGAAAGTTACTTATATGGGTTGTAAAAATGTGCAAGGAACTTGTTTATATTTGTAAATATGAAAATTTTTAAAAATTCAAATCAGCCTGGAAAAAAATGCACCCCTTTTTTCGGAATGCGTGGCTGACGCCTCGCACCTTCATTCGAAAAAATTTTTTGTCGCGCCCCCCCCCCTCCGAGCGGAAATCCTGGGTACGCCACTGGCCTGAAGCTATCATAAAAGAATCGAAATCAGTATGGATACCTGTTAATCGCATCAAGTGATCGAAAGTAGAACAATAAGTTAATTGCTCTTGAACATACCTCGTATCAATCACTCTGTGATTTGATACAAGGCCAGGTGTCCAAAGGCCATAAATAAGGGAGATGTATAAAATTTGCGTATATGGTGGTCTACCAAATCCTTTGAAGACATATAAGTGAGTATTGCTTACCCAGTTCTCTCCTTTGCTTTTCGTACTACACCACACTGGCTTTCATCTTGAGCTGTGACCGGCGTCCAAGGGACTGTTTCGTTTATGTTTCCGATTTTCTAAGCTCTATCGAAGGCGATCTTGCCGAAACGTTGGTCGTGAATAAAGAGTGATCAACAGCTTGGCTCACGCTTAATCATTTGATGCGATTGTCAAGTTTCTGTGCCAAGATCAACAATCAACAAAAGGAAAGATATTACACGCGCATTCTTTCAATAATATAAGACATAGCCTTGACACAGATGTGTTCAAGGGAGCCGCTCGAAAAATCTCGCACTGATAATATTTTGCGCTAACCTATCAAAATCTCCTTAAAGACTCGAAAATGGCAAAACAAATGCCAAGGTTTTTCGTTTGGGGAATGGAAGGTGAGCAGAGATGGGAATGAGCAACTTCCTGCATGATATTTTCAGATTTGCAGAACAATGCCGCGAACATACGTGTTGCATACGTCAAAAGCCAAGCTGCATTGACACAGTTTTAACTTGAGCTTTGTGCCGCATTTGCTTCTGGAAAAATTTAAGATATCTGTAAAGAGTTCAAACGAAAGAGGACTTGAAAATTATAACACATTAGAAGGTTCTTTGAGCATTTCGCTGGAATAGCTATTCGTAATATCTGATCCATGACAAAGGCAGTCCCCAAATAAGCTGAGCGCAAGCGAGACTGGCACGCAAACGGCGCGCGGGCATTGTGCATGGAGCGCGAGATGCAATAGCTAGCCGATGACATTGGGGTCACTACGCCTTTTTTAATGTTCTAAATCGTACTCTCCTGCTTCCCGAACCCCTCTCAGCTTGCTCACTTTGAGGTAAGCTACTGCTCACAGGCTCTACCCGCTATACATGTGTCGCCATAATTTTTGTATTCATGGCTGTGATCATCGCTCACTACTGTGTAAAATTGCTTGTATTACTGCGCACGTTGATACCCCTTCTTGTTTCTCACTCTTTTCCTTCTCCTCTTCGTATGCATTCATTTCTATGGTGATTTTTGTCCTGTATGCTTCGTGTGCGCACGCTCCACAGTTGGCAGTCGTCTGCATGCGCCAGTTTTGCATGCGCTTAGGTTATTTCTATGACCGCCGTCATGGATCAGATTTTATATGGAGTCTCACTCACCAATATTCGCACTTTTCACTTCCTTTCTGCATGAAAGCACTAGTTACTGGAACACGAAGGACAATGAGTTTCCATATGTTTACTTGTATCAATCATTGCATAAGGACCTGTACGTACAATAGTTACTTCCTAGTATCACATACGCGAGAGAGCATCGATATTATGACAAATGAGCATATGTTATACCGTGAGCCGGACAGTCTCAGCTTGGGCACACCGTCGTAGTGAAAGCAATTAGACAGAAAAAAACTGTTCCCGATAAATACCATTCTTCATCAAAAGTCACTAAGTCCTTACAGATTTGGCATTTTTTGTACAATAAGGCAGTTTGAATCAATAGAATGAGAAACAAGACAGTGAGAAACGTTTGAGTAAGCGTGCTTAAGTGACTCGTCAGACCAGTGAAATGTTAATAGCGAGGTTCATAGAGTGGAGGTGAGTAAAACTAGCTAGCTACAGCTCACGAGGAAGTCGTGTAGGTCAAGCTGGCAAACTTCGCGGACCGGTTCCTTCGGATTTCTGAAAAGAGAATTGCTTAGTATGTGCTCAAGATTTGCAAATGAAATCAGGCTTCTCAAGTCCGACGAAGAGATTTTGTTATGGGGTTGTTTCAAAAGTCCCACCCTTGAACTCTGAGTTTGATTCACCATAACTCTTCTTATACATGATCATTGCTTGCAATAAATTGTGCGATAAAGCTTCCCCGTAATGGTCACGATCTCAGTCAAGGCCCGGCATAGATCATTGCTTGCAAAAGCGCAGCGCTAAAATAAACAAATTGCTTGTTAACACATTGACAACCGCTTGACACACATGTTGTGTCAAGCAATGACTACCGCTGGGACCGCTTGACACACCATGTGTGTCAAGGCTTGAATTTTGTTGAAATAACTATTATACTTTGATAAACATACTCCACGAGCTTCTCTCTGCACTGAATCTAGAGATGACCTCTACCGTTACTTTCAGCATTTCAGACCTACTGTAGCTATACTGTAGATGGCAGTATGCGTAATTATAGTTGAAAAATGCGGGCTGGTCCGTAAATGGCCTTGGTCCCAGAAGGCAGACAACTAAAAATCTGCATGGTCGTCAATGTGTTAATAGCGCCTACAAAACCATGTGGCATAAAAATTGAACTGTATACATAGAAAATTATTTGGGGAAGAATTATGTAAAAAGATTTGAAAACTTATGTGAATGATACCTTTCTCACATTTAGTCCGTCTCCAGACGGCCACCAGAAGATCTGAGTTCGTCTGGAGCATATTTCTGTCACTTCACATAATTTTTGTTTCTGTCATAGACGGATTTCCCGGTCAAAAATCTATCTCCTAGCTTGAAGACAATTTTATATCAGTGCCTTTCGTTTGTTTTTTGCCTTAATTTCTTCATAAATAGCTTTTTTGGATATCGCGCTCCAATCCCAAACTCTTGTGTATGCGCAGTATTCAGCTCCACTTTGGATTTTACTCTTACCTCATGTTCTTCTCTTTCACACTAGTAAATCTTCCTTGTTTTTACCTCTCCCAAGTAGGTAGACCATAAGGGACTTCGTAAAACCTCCAAAAGTCAGAGGAGACTTCGTTTTCAGAAAACCTAGAAACCGACTCGTGCCGGGGCCCTGATCTCAATATACATAAGCACCCCTTCCCTTCGACCCCATTTTTTCGTCAACTCTTTTCACACCTATACGGCCTACGTGCTTATTTCTGCCTCGCATTCTTTTCAGAAATAACAAAACTGGTGCTCCAAACGTGCTTTTTACTGGAACGTGGGAGTTGAAATTTGTGTCCCAAAGACATCAACTCGTGCGTGTAGGCGCAGTGGGAAGGCTAGTATAATGTATGAAAAGTTTCTGATTCGAGGGCATGACGAACTTTTTCTCCAATTAGGGGTGGCTTTGAGCAACCTTCGGTGGCCAAAAGAAAACAAATATAACTTTCCGTTTTCTTCACACAAGTTTTTGGTCTTTCTGTACTATTCAAAAAGCTTCTTAACCGTTTCTAAGACCTCTTTGCTTAGTTACAGCTAATCGAAATTCTGAGCTATGGCGCAGTCCGCTCTAAGGCCTCGGACAGTCTTCACGCAACTTAATCGTCGCGATCTAATAGCCAAGATTTCCATTCATTTTCATTTCACATTCAAAATTTTCGGGCTGGAAAAGTGTCACAACCGACTGCAAGTTGATCGGCATGGAATGATGTTGTAAGTTGTCTCGTCGCGACTGAATCGCGACGAGACAGCTGTTACAACATCATTCCATGCCGATCAACTTGCATTTCGGTTGTGATACTTTTCCAGCCCGAAATTTTTGAATGTGAAATGAAAATGAATGGAAATGTCGGCGATTGAGTCGCGACGATCAAATCGCGTGAAGTCTGTCCGGGGCCTAACGTACACTAGTGAGAGCCACGAGATGCAAAGCATGCAGTACGATCACTTTAGACGTTTTTTTTGTGTTCCTGTTTTTCTTTTCACTATTCATGAGCATGTCATGCTTTTTTGCGAAATCAAAAGAGATTTTGTTTACAAAATTTTTTGGTGCCACTTTGCCATGCATTGAGCGGCACCAGAAAATTTTCTGGTGCCACCTTGTAATGCAAAAGATATTAATGCGGGAGACTGAAAAAGCTTGTACAGAATTTAGCGGTATACAAAATTACGAAATTAAGAGACTGATGTTGAAGTAGACCGTCTGTTCCTAAGTGCATATGATTAGAATCCCTCATGATCAATCCGAAAATAACGGTGCCAAAGTCGAAGCTTGCTGGTCCCTCTGTAGTACGGGTTCTCTTCATCGTTTCTCGAAACCTCGAAAACCTCGCACACCGTCAAACAAGCTCGGTGGCGAAATTTTTGGAAGGATGGAAGACGTCGGTAGCAGCTAATCTCAACAGCTGCTGTAGGAGATAGGAAAACGTCCAAAATACGATATGATTCATTCGTTTCGAGCATGGTCGTCGGAAGCCAAGGAAGAGAATGGCATTTATGTGTCGTTCAGCCATAGAGCGGATGCACGCCTTCCTACCGTACTCTGCACCGGCAACCACCGTCACTCATCCTAATGAACCTACACGATATTCTAACCAATAGACTATTCTATGTCGAATGAATTCGTCCAATAAACGAAGTAATTCCGCTTATCTCTGACCATCAAGTGAGCCACTTCTACGGCGGCTTGCTCTGTTCAAGATCAAGGTTGACCAAGGGCCAACCAATGGGCAGTGACCTGACAGAACCCAGTCCCCTGTTCCTCTCTCCTTCCCCCTTTTTATGGGACTCGTACAATGAAGATCATAGTAGTACTAATGCTACCCCACTATACATCAAAAAAGGACTTACACTTCTCCCTAACGCACAATATAATTAGCTACATTTCTATTGCAGTTTTTCCAACCCTCAGCTCTACCGAAAAGTAAAAGAATAGGACCGGTCAGTCGGACGGACTCGGGAAATCCAGAGTAAGTGCATCGGATGTGAACTTACATTATGTACACGTGCTTCTCCGTTGCATAGTACCCGCATGCAGCAAGAAAAAGGAGTGAAAGGTTGTGGCTTGTTGTCTACTGCGTTCAGCTGTCGACGTTTCAACACTCGAGATGGACGAATAGAATTCACAATCGTCATAAGGGTGAAACGTGGGATGAGGCAGAGGACGATCGAAAGCAATTGCACCTAAACGACTTTGTCTTCTAAAGCGTCAAATTGGTTGACTCACTTTGCTGCTTACCAGCCAAAAGACGGGATCAATCATCGCTAGCTGGGCTGTGGAGACTGGTGTGTCCTTGACGTTTGTCCATGTCCATTCGGCTGTCACAAAGCCGTTGTACAGCAGTGCACAGACAAAGAACGAGCTCAGAGAAAAGATCATTGACAAGAGCATGGGCCATGTCTAAAATAATGTATATTGAGCGAGGATGACCCATAGGAACCAAATCATGGACGAACCCAATATTGCAAAAGTAATGCAAGGTGGAATGTATTGACGAACAGTAGCTGGGCGCACATAACTATGCCAAAAGTCCACATATCGCAGTCCGTGTCGGTGTAAGTCTGCAGATAATGACGATCCAGTAACCACTACACAGACTTTGGAACTTACAAAATGACATATCCAATAGACGACAGCACTTTGCCATATAGCATCCAGCATATTCAGCCAAAATGAGTACCAACGGTATTTCTGCCAATCATGCATTGAGGCCACGTTTTTACATAATCTGAATAAAACACTTACCTTTCCTAATCGACCTTGATCGTAAAATTGCGGCACATCAAGAAGTACGTCCGCAGAGGCATCTTGCTCGAGGCAACCGTATAAAAGTGCGGGAACTACAACGACGAAATTAGATTTGATGTTTATTGTCAGTTCGAAGCAATCTGGCTTGCATCAAAAAATGAGATTTCCTTCAAGTTCTTCCATACTACTATTTTTGTTGAAATTGCAAGTAGTGACCCCTGATATTGAGCTTTTTTTAAATCCACAAAATGATTCCTATAGCTATGCACTGGACATCTTCATTAATCTCACAAAACAACGAACGGATACTTGCCAAACGCCATCTTGCAAACTCAGGGTTCGGCACAGGTGCCTTATAAGCAAAGCTATCGTTTTTGGGACAAAAAGCAAAGGGGTATCCATTTTGTGGGTCCGAAATTAGTTCTTTTTAGTCGATATTTCGTTTTTTAGTCGATTCGGATATTCGGATAAGGGTCAAACGGAACTTCGTAAAATTCAACGAAACATGCATTCTTTTTTTTTGCATTTTTGGGAAGCCACCTCGTGCCGAGTCCTGTGCAAACTGTTGCTGCGCTGGCATTTCAAGCTTCTGAAGATATTTTTATGTCTTCGTCGACCTCGTTCAAAATGGGGTTAGGAGAGGTTGCGCGCTGGGAACGGGAGACGGGAAGAGCTCTTTTGCCATCAACATGGATCAGTTTTAGTGGATTGTACATACAATTCCAAACGATTAGCAGAAATTGGTTTGAGCACATCTACAGAATATTGTAACCAACCCTGCTGGCTTCTAGCGTTTGTCTATCTCAGTTATAATTTAGACTAAGAAAGAGGGCTCAGGAGCACGAAGTGGCAGACCCCCGCCATTTGCCTTCTGGAGGTATCACTTCGACTGTCTGAGTAGGAAGTGGAGTTCATCGTAAAAAAGATCACCTGATGTAAATAACAAGTTGTAAACCATAAGATAGATGGGGTCGATAGGGACTTGAGAGCTGAAGCCACTGAATAATTGGTACCAGAAAATCGTGAAGACGAACATCTGAAAAAGAAGACCATTTCATTTCCAAAAATGGAGGGTGGAAAGACTTACCGCATTTTTGTAGAAAAAGTATAGAATTGTCTGCGCCAATCGCTGATAACACCAGTGCCCATGTACCAAAAGAAGATTTGCTAGGAAGCGGAATCGAGCCATAGCAAAATCGCTCGCCATGACAGCTTGCATGCCCTCTTGGCCTGACAGACCCACACCGACGTCCGCTGACTGAAAAAAAAGCATTTGATAGTGAAAGAAAAGCAAAAAGAAAATCTCTTACCTGAATCATGGAAACATCATTGGCTCCATCACCAATGGCGAGAACTTTGCCATTCAGACGAGTTTTCGCCAATTTCACCAAAGCCGCTTTCTGTATCGGAGTGGCCCGACAGCAGAGGACGCTTCGACAACTGAAAAGTATTAGTGAGTAATGAAATATCCAGGAGTACGAAAACAAGAACCTTTTGAGCAATCTGACGAAGCGTTCCTCGTTGTGAGGATCCAGACAATAATCCAAGCAGGAGGCATTCAGCACCAATCCAAACGCAGCTTCTTCCGTAATCTCCCCAGCGCGGCTCACACTGCAAGAAGATCACTTTTGGTTATGAAAACTCATGTGATAAAAGTCAAAAAAATAAAACTTACCGCAAAAGATGTTCATCAAGCAAATCGGACACCGAGCGCACCCCATTCGCTCCGATGTTGAGAAGGTCCATAGCAGATGAAAAAAGTCTAAAAAAGTAGAAGTAGTATCGAATTCTGACATGTAACCGTATCTCAAATTATAGCCTACGAACTAAGTGCCATTAGCGAATGAACTGCCCTCCTAAGCTTTGGGGAATCATAATTTTCTTCTCAGAAACTATCTGAACTATATTCACGCGGTATTAAATCTTTCAACTATGTGATTTGCTCAATCTTTTCCAAAAATGGAAAAGATATTGCTGTATGAAGCAACCTGGCAATGTTTATCCAAACTGAAGGCAATTTCTATCATAAAACTTCTTCCTACTTCACTAATTTCTCCTAGTTACCATCAATGTAGCAGAAGAAAATCGTATATACAAACTTAGTACTACCTTATTGTTAATCATGATTTCAACGTTCCTTGAAATGCAAATGATATGAGTACGCATGGTTTGGAGTTTACGTAAGTCAACTGAGTCACTACCACTGCCTGCATTACCATACCACTCGTAATTTTTATAAAAAAAACCAGTTCCGATTCATGTAACATCACCGTAGCTTTACCATATCACTACGTAATATATTCTGGATTCATTGTTTACCACTTGGCCACCCCTGATCCGTGGAACACGGCAAACGAGGAGAGAGCAGACGGAGAAATTATGATGAAATGTACAGATGTTCATTCTTGGATTGCTGCCAGATCGCATGCGTTTTGGAACGCTGCCAAATTTCATAACAAGTGACCAAGCATATTTTCGTAAAAGAGTCACACATATTTCGAAAGGCAATCATGAGGTCGCAATGATTTTGAGACTGGGTCGCCAGTGTCCGGATGTGTTATTTGTGCCTACTTTTTTCGAGCTTGTTATCCTAGAATGTGTCTCTCAAATATGTTGTAATCATATTAGTTGCTTTTGAAATGATGCCAAATTGCGTAACAGCGTGACTTGACTTGGGCTAAATTCATCTATGTTTTCAACTCTTGGTAAAAATGCTCTAACTAAGAACAACTTTAAGATTACGCGTGTAGACAAGAGAGTGCGTGAGTAACTTGGTCTCGGTGGTATTTTTGGAAGCGTTTATCTAACAACAGCCTTGCTTTTGCGTGTGTGACTGGGTCCCGCTGGTGCTCTCAACTAGGCATCGGTGTGTAGGCGGCACGTAGGGCAATTCCGTCAGGGAGGGAAACAGATTTTTATACGTTTGGGGTAGTTCTCAAAATTGAATGTCTAGAAGTGGCATGTACGGCAATTTGAGAATACGCTGTAAATACTTGATTTCGTTGTCTTCTTTCTGTAAAGTCGTAAGGTTGGTTTTTCTTAGATATACGGCCTTCAAGCGGCACATAGGGCATAAACTTTCTTTCTGAATAGTTACTATCGGTCTGTAAGCGGTACGTAGGGCAACTCGATCGGGCAGGGAAACAGATTTTTGTACGTTTGGGCAGTTCTTATAATTTTTTTGCGGTCTTCAAGCGGCACGTAGGGCATGAACTGTCCTTCAGATAGATGGTATTGATATTGTAAGCGGCACGTAGGGCAAATTGATCGACAGGGAAACAAATTTTTTGTACGTTTGTGCAGTTCGTATGATTGACGGTCTTTAGGTGGTTCAGTAGTCGTGCTTTTCGGGGAGAAATCTCCTTTTGTAGTGAAGCTTCATATTCTTTTGGCGAAGAAATTGAAAGGTTTTCTGACAAAGTTCTTATTGTTGGACGATTGATTTCGTTGCTGTCGGAATTGATTTCGCAGAAATGTTTAAAAAGGATAGTAAGTTTACTTAGAAATATGTAATATAGTCACAACTAAGCCCTTATATTGTATCTGCCCCGACCCACTTGCTAGCGACCCGTAGGGTCGGTAGTCTCGCTTCAAAGTTTAGGAATTCTTCATCCAAGGGACCATTCGACTCAGCTCGGCGCGGTGCATCTTCGGATATATAGAAGTCCCGCTTGAACCATAGTAGGTCGGACTCCAAGAATCGTTTCAGATTGTGGCCAGCGGTAGGTACTCGGTGTGCTTGTTCTTCGCACTCACTGGGAAACCTACCGTAGGCAAAAAATCTGAAACTCGTGAACGCTGGCCTCCTTTTGCCTCTATTATTCCAAACCGGCACTTCTATACATCAGAAGAGGCGCCGCGCCTAGCTGAGTCGAATGGGGTCCTTGGATTAAGAATTAGTCCATTCTAAAACGAGATATGACCGCTCTATGGTGGTGTCACATGTATCGGGCAACTTTGCGTTTTTTTTCAATTACGAGCGGTATTGCAGTTACTATGGTGAAAGCAAACTCTCCCTTTATCGAGTTTTAGAAATTTATTGTTGAGAATTATTTGAATTTGCCTCAACAATGTTCTCAACCGTTCCACCTGAGAGAACTGAAACGAAATGCTTACCGAGACGAGAATGCGATATTTACTGCCGTTTCGACTTTGTCACCTGTCAGGACCCACACGCATATTCCTGCTTCACGTAGAAGATGGATGCATTCGGGCACACCTTCTTGCAGACGGTCCTCAATTGCTGTCACGCCTGAAGGAGGAGTTTCATTTGTCACAAAATTCGAAATGTCAATATCTACTTACCGAGTAGGTCTACATCTTGCTCAGCTTTTAGAAAGCTATCCCTAAGCAGATTTTCACGATGGTGTGGATCAAGTTCAGCTTCTTCGTGAACAGCTCTCCACTTCTGAAAGCTTTTGATGAATTTACAGCTAGCAGGGATGATAGCCATTCGCTTTGAATTATTTTTACCTGATAATCTTCATCGTTCCAGTATTTGATTCCTAGGCATAGCGTTCTTAATCCTTCCCTTGCGTAGTCTGACAAATGCTCTTGAGCCTGAAGGCGGAATTCGTTCTTGGAGGTGAACCAAAATGAAACATGGAAGATTTCTTGCTGATTCATAGAACATCATGCTTTTTAGGCAGTTCTATGTCATTAAAGTTACCAATGAAGAAGAAATTTTGAGTTTCTTTGCATTTGTACCAGAGAAAGAATATGAGAACCGATGTTAACGCTATGAAAGATTTCTGAAAGTTATGTGAGACTGATTCTCATACTCTAATCTAATATTCTCACATTCGTTTAAGCTGTTCTCAAAGGCAGCGTCCCATGATCTGGCTTTCCAGTTTTTCATCTATTCGAAGCATTCTCGCCATGAGGAACCCATATATGGGGTTTTCAGTGTATAAAAAGCGCAAATGAGGCTTTTTAGAAGCTTTTCAGGTCCATATTCAGTGGAAATACGCCAGAAGCCTTGCGCGCCTCGCCTCCTTCGTTCCGGACCTCGCTCACTTACACGAATTTCACTGAATACGGACCCGGAAAGCTTCGGAAAAAAAACTCATTTTCGTCATTTTGATGCGTTGAAAAGTCTAGCTAAGGGTTCCTTATGACGAGAAGGCTCCAAAAGGTGAAACGAAATTCTACGGGATATTGCCTTCAACTCTGCTTCAAACCGCACAACTAATGAACTTAGTGAGAGCACCTCCCAACCTCCTGCAATACCAATCAAACCTTGAAGTAATTTACCTTGAACACTTCCTCTTCTCCTTTCAGAGAAGTAGTGTACTCGTTAGATAGAATCGGCAAAACAGCAGCATCGGCACCTTTCGTCAACAAAAAGACTCGTCGCTTTCCAGAACATTCTTGCACAACAACTGACATCCTCTTCCGATCAGAATCAAAGGGTAGTGTGTGCAGAAGCTACAAGGAATGACTAGAAAATCAGGTAAATTCAGAGATATGAGATACACACCTTGTACTTCATGGTCTGTGCACTAGCTCTTAGGTAGATGACAATTTCGTCAAATCTTCGTTTCAGCAAGCGCACACCATATTCTCGTGCTGCTTCTACCAGAGCAAGTTCATCGGGAGATTCCGAATCGTAGTAAGAATGAAGCGGAGTGATGGTTTCGGTTGAAGACTGTGACTGGCGCTTGTCTACGGATCTAAATTCCCAAAGTGAAGAAGCTGAAGGTACGAAAAGGGTATGGTGCTTACCTGCGGAATGGGCTGAGATCTTTTATTCCTTTCAATTTAGCAAAACTGAGCAATGATGGACGGTGAAGGATGCCGGGCAGACTTTTCACGCAGACTTTCTCCTTTGCTTCAACGTTTTTTACATCGTCATCTTTTGACGGGTGCTCTACCGATCCAGTTACGGTTGTGTTCTCGTCCTAAATCAAAAGTTCAGGAGAGAATGGTATACTGTAGGTTTAGCACTGACCTTCTCTTCATTGAACTGGATCAATTCGATACTATCCCGATGCGCATCCAAACTCAGAGCTGATGGAACCTCTTCCTCTACTTCTTCAAGAAACTTCACACTCAACGGGGACAACGTTGACCGCTCTCCGTTCTCTGTTTCTTCGATTTGATAGTCTATCATATCTCCATCAGGGTCCATCGTATCCTGAAAAGAAAATCTCATCAAAAATTCATATTTAAGGAGTGAACATATACCTCGTGAGGTTTGGCATTGACCACGACTGTGTTACAGATAGCCATTGTAAGGAAAAACAGATAAATGTGACTGTCGGTGTCAGCTTCCCGTACAGCTCGACTCAGAAGCGCTTCCAGCCCTCGATCTTTCGACGGCCGTGGTCTACCCAGCCGATCCGCAGGATGATCGATGGCTGCGGCCACAGAATGCCCTCCGAAATCCTTTCCTCGCAACGAACACCGTCGGAAAACCATCTAAATTACCATATATTTCTCGGTAAACATCAACTCAGTCATACTTCTGCCTACCTGATTTTCCGTAAGTGTCCCCGTCTTATCAGACATAATGTATTGTATTTGCCCAAGTTCTTCAGGGATGTTCAGAGCCCTGAATCAAACCCATCAGAATGAGCAGAACTAGCAGGAAAAAGATAACTGACCTGCACTGCACCCGTTTATCAACTTTCTCGTAATACATATTCAGATCTTGAGAAATCAACCATACTTGCCCAATTTTGATAAATTCAATAGAAACATATAGTGAGATCGGAATGAGAACCTGAAAGACAAGTTTGGAAAATGTGATATATGTTATCGTATTCACTAACAAATCAAGATCAAAGCAGTCTTGATGTGTATAGAAATTTGGTTCTAAAAAATGTGAGGGCTGGGGGGGGGGGGGGAGGACAAAAATTTCTGGTATGAAAGGTGCACTGCGAAAGTATTTTTGACATGATTCAGAATTTTTTTATCATGCCTATAAAATCGCAATTATCGAAAAAAGGCCTAATTTGGATTTCTAGGTTTGCAAAATTATTTTAAATCTTAGAAATCATTCTATAATAAATATCATTTTGCTCAAAGAGCAGAGCTTCGTGCACGTGCTGAAATAAACCGTCTTCCTATACTCGAAACTAGCAGTGAAGCCCAGTAATATGTGATCAGAGTTTTATGAAGAGCTCAGGAGAAAAAAATTGCTAGTTGTCCATTTCCCTAAAGACTTTCTGTATATCCAAAAGATTTCCACTTTGCAAATGAATGCATGAAGATGATTTGATAGAGAGAAGTGATTAACAGACAAACCTATATTTGTTTCTATACCGAAAGGCCTACCTGTAAAACAATGATAAAAGACCAGAAATTCCAAAAACTTTCGAAGGACGGGCGAAATTCGGTGCCTCCTGGCATTTCGGACCAAGTGAAGAACGGCACCTTGTACGGTAAGGAAAAACTCCGCATCCACACTCCTGCAAACAGTTTTTTTATTAGTTCTTCTTGAAAGAGAAAAATCAAGGCTTACCTGAAAGCACTGCACCGGCGATACATAGCGCAAGAAGAATCACTACGCACCATATGATGTCCAAATTCGTCAGTCTTTCCAAGGTGCTTCTGAAATATATAAGTGTGCTCAAAATTTATGAGCGGGTTTTTGTACGGATTATCATGGTCTTTTCATAAACAATTCATACCTCTTATAGCGTGGCCCCTTGTTGTTTAGCATGGCTTTCGTATCATTTCCTGTAAAAATATACTTGGTCATGAGAATGAAAAAAAACATAAAATGACTGGCCATCCCTCAGACTTCCCCCAAAAGTCGCGAAACGTTTGGAAGCAGCCAATCAAAATAAGAAAAATGTGCGAATGACTTGTTATTCTCAGTCGTTGTACCACCAACTGTTAGAGTTCATCACAAATCTCAATTAGCTTTGTAAAAAAATGAGAAAAACTATTTGCTTTTTTCCGAGAGCGCGACGACGGCACATTTCCTATCTTTTGAAGGTGTGAAGTCTTTGGGTTGATGCACAATCCCTGCAGATCCATCCAATCACTACCAACTTCTCTCAGTTAAAAAGGTAGATCATAAAATCGAGACCGAAAGAATTCGAATTTCAGTAGACGTTAAAAAGAATCATTCCTTGGGTGTGTCTCTTAGTCGGCTTGAATCGTTGCCATATGCCCTTAAATTATGACTCAAGCACCTACAGAATACAAATTATTTCCTCTTTCTATCTTGCAACTCAAAAGATTTCATTAAATTTGAAAAAAGTGACAGAATTTCAAAAATTTTGGTGCAAAATTGTGCATCAACTCAATATCATCCCCATGAAATTACAAAGCTTACAAAATTTCAAAGGATGTGCATGAGCCGCGCTGCTTATAAAAAAAATTCTCCTGTCTTCTCCAACTTTCGCATCATTTTTGATATGCAGTAAAAGCAAAACTTCACATTCTCGGCTGACTACACAATTTTCTAGCATTTCCGGTTAAGAACTGAATACTCTTCGTGATAAGGACTATAGTTACCTGCATACAATACAATTCCTTCAACAAAATCCGTATTTTTGACAACACATCCTCGAAGTAAAACATTCTCCTTGGCTAAGATTGTAAACTCTCGAGGAAGCGGAGCACCTAAAAAGAACTTTTCTGTTTGATACTGTAAGGCTGTACATTTCCCTCTTACATACCTCCTTCCATCGTTTCCAAACGTCCTTCGAATTTGTACACGTCTGTCGTTGGCTCTTCACAGCAAACCTTGAATATTTTCGATGTTATTGGAAAAAACGAATCGATCGTACAAAAAAGGACAATAACCTTGTACATGAACTGATCCGGTGAGAAGTTCAATGGCACCGTTGGGTTGTGAAACTTTCCCATTGCTCGGATGGCTTGCCGTTGCTTGAGATTGCTCTCACCGTCCAGGTTACATGTGTCGACATAACAAATTCCTAAAGATAGCTTGTCTACAAGAATTAAATATAGCTATAGTCATGCAGTTTGAGGAATCCGATCCACATCTTGCTCAACACACTTCAGGAAACTCCCCACAACAGCAAGCACGCAGAAATTATTTTGTGGAGAAGAGGGTCAATGATATCTTGCTCCCTAAAGGAATTCTTCACGGAGCTTCCAAGTTCCTATGGATAGATTATACAAAGTGTCTCAGAAAATGTGTTTACTGTTTGATTGTTAATAGCTCTCTTGTCATGGCGTCTTTAGAGAAGTTTTAGGCGACATTTTGTAGAGCTGGCTCCAGCTTAGCTCTACAATATAGAGCGATTCACCGGTTGCTCTTCAGTACTGCAGAATAACGATAGAAACTTTGAAGAGGGTTAGCTATGGAGGGCTGAATTTTGCATTGAAAGGAGACAAAATGAAATGAAAACTGCCTCAGATTCTTCAGAGTTGCTGATTCTAAGTATGAAGTAGCTTCTCATCACGATGGTTATAGAAGGTTGTGCCAATTAAGCAGTGGCAACCATTCCGATTCCCGAAGATGTGGTTACACCGCTTAGAAAGCTTCACAGTCTTGTACGAAGATGAGTAGAGAACTCAGCGTCTTGAAAACCCTATCAAGCAGATTTTTGAAATTTTTAAAAAATCATGAAACGGCAGCTTTTCACAGTGACGCCGTATGCTGGAGGCTCCTACCGTAATCCTACAGTAATGGAGAAATCGGTGAGCTCCACACTAAATCTAATTCAATATCAGCTCTAAAAAATAGTATCTAAAGCTCCTCGAAAGACATCATGACACAGCACGCACTTTTTTGGGACACCCTGTATTTCGAGAACAATTTACAAGTGCCTTTCAAAAAATGTGTGACCGAATTTCGTACATAGCAGCAATTTTTGCTGCATCACTTTCTGTAAAATTTTTAGGAATATTTGTCCGCTCCCCATTACCTCTTCTTTTGACCAAGCGGAGAACGCAGAATGCAAGTGATTAATAATTTCGAAGGTCTTGCTTTGTTTCCAAAGAGCCGCAAAAATAAGGTAGCATTCCAAACTGCTGCTTGTTTCAATATATTTTCAGGTAGAAGTTCCTTTTCTAATATATAAAGGAACGTAAGCGCAATTCAAAAATCTGCAAATAGCGGGAAACCGCGCGGCGGTCTCGAAGCGAACGCTCTTCCAAATAGCACCTTTAGGTTACTGGATCACTAGTCTAATATATAAAGAAACAGCACAATTCAAATTGTGCAATAGCGGGAAACCGCGTGGCGGTCCCAGCGCGCGGATGCAACCTAGCACCTTTAATTGCTGGTTCACTGGTCATAAGAAAGGATATATATATATGTACAGCAGTCTGCAGACCAAATGCTCTATCAAAGGCTGGTTACTTTTCCTCAAAGCGTAGAATTATTTGAATTTATCACGAGTATTTTGACATCAGACGAGCCACTTCTCATACATTTGCGTCTCTAGTCAAATGCAATGTGTATGCTGATGATGTATTTACCAGTGCTTTTTTCAGGTATCGTGTGGAACTCCATGAAAGAAATGAAATTCAAATTCATAAAAAAAGGTTTCTATTTTGATGCTTTACGAACGAATAACGCGAGTGAGTGTAACTTTTCATTACAGAATTTTTTGCAGGTGAAAAAAACTGTAATATAGCACACCGTGTCACCCTTCTTATCGAGACCAAAGCTGATCTCTTTACATTGAAAACAACATTGTTTTTATGTGTGTCAAGAGGACAGAACTATTGGATAAGCACTCAGACACTGGCGATGGCTTGTCGTTTTAGTTTTTTTGCTTTATCTTGTTGGAAGAGCTGCGCCGAAAACAATGAGGAAAAACCTAAGTTGAGAACCGACCGTTAGCATCGCTGCTTCGAAGAAGTAAGATATCTGCAGGAATGATTTCGTCGTGGGAGAGATGTACGAAATCGCCAACAAGTATGTGCTTCCATTCGAGTTTGCGATATCTACAAAACGCTTTTTCCTCATCGCAAATTCTCAAAATTCCTGCATCGTATTACGCTCACCGTCCCTGACTCGAGTCCCACACACGGCACGTGGAATGGTTGATTTTCTGATCGGATTTGTAGCGCCGATAATCCTGAAGCGATAGAGTGCGTGAAGAGCGAAAGTGGGACAGTAGTGAGCAGGGCTCGGCACGAGCTGGCACCAGGGAATTTTGAAAACGAAGTCCCCTTTGAAATTTGCCAATTTTTACGAAGTCCCCTTTGATCCTCAACGATATCCCCTCTAAAATCCTAAAAAAATCCCCAAAATCCCCCAAAAAACGAAACGTCGACTAAAAAAAAAAAAAAAAAAAAAAAGGTCGTCGCCGCCAATTTTGCGTATGTCTTCACCCACAAAAACGAAACCCCCTTTGCTTTTTGCCCCAAAAACGATATCCAGCTTGCCCCGTGCCAGCTGGTGCCAGGCCCTGGTAGTGAGGCACAAACATCATTTGCATTCGGGAAGCACTCGTCATTCAAAGGCAAGGATCGTAACTCACCTCAAAAGCGTCTTTTATGGCAGTGACTCCGAGTACGAACGAAATTGGCATCAGCGATATGTATTTCCCAAACGCTCCAATGATCATGTTCAAGACGACTATGAAGATGAAATATAGGTTGGCCGCTCGATGTAACTGAAAAATAGAACCATTGCTGAGAAAAGTGGGAGAGTATTAGGTTGATGCATAATTAATGCATGTTACTTATAAGTGAGTGACAAAAATTGTGTAGAAATCCATGAAGCACATCATTCGATAGAGCAAAGCAAGCTTTACAAGGCAGTGTTCAAATGATCTTACAATTATTAGGTTGTTGCAAAAATAATGTCCGTTCTGCAATTTTACTTTGAAAGGCTATAACTTTGTCCAGTCTTCTTATTTTTGAATGCAATCAAAACCATATGAAGCAGTGAACCTTTCTTAACCTGACGCGCTTCTACATTTACTGATATCACACGGGAAGAAAACCATGCGTCAAAAGACCGAAAGTTTTTTTGAAGCCCTCGTCTTTGAGAGATTACAATTCCCTTCAAGTTTGTTCCTTTGGCTGCTAATCAGCTTATTTTGTAGACGCAAGCCAGTAGTATGCTTTTGCTTAGAAAAGACTTTAACAAAGGAGTCCTGCGAAAAGAAAAGATAGAAATTCAAAATTGTTCACTTTTTCGAGCCTATTTTTGGTAGGCCAGAAAGTCTTAAACCAAGGAAATTTGAAATTCTTTATACACTGAATAGCTAAGCTTTTCTGCAAAAATTCTGGGAAAGATGTTCTGACCTCAGGCATACAGAAATGAGCGAAGCTTCGGCGATTGCCCTACTTATGAGAAACTTTGGATCCATAAAATGCCAGCAGCTAGCGTCTATTTCGGGGCGTCGAGTCCTCGGTTCAGATATTTTTGAAAAATCTACTCAAACATGCTATAGGTAAACAACGTTTAACCAATACAGTAGCTATGTTTTCAAAAGAACCCGTTCGTTTGCGCCTGAATTGTGGCTAAGGGAGTTAAGGCAACGAATTTTCGATTTTGAGTGCAGCTGTGTAAGATGCTGTTGAAATTCTCACAGATGAGATAAAAGCTTAGTTTCACAACTGTTAGAAAGTACATGAAGAAAGCTTTCCAAAGATATGCAGAATCCATATCCAAGAAGAAATTATGAAGGAAAAAAGTTGTTCGGAAAATAGGCCTAGAATAACGGACATTATTTTGCAACAACCTAATAGAATGTTTGATATACAGAAAGCTAGAAAGAAAAATCCAAAATTTTCCAAATGCCTAAAATCGGTCTGTTTCGAAAATTATACAGACCTCTAAATTGCTCACGAAAATTACTTATCTCATCAGTATGCATACTTATACTTGCTGAATTTTTCTATAGATAGAAGTCGAAATAGTAAAGTTTGGCATCTTTTAGCAAAATCAATGCTGTGTTGTTTCAACACAGATAATCCCATACTACAAGTCTTTGTAAGTATGATACAATAAAATTTCAGCCTTCTCGAGACGCTGGTTGTCAAGAAATACTAAATTTAGCCTTAAAAACACGAAAAAGGGATATTTTCGGATTTTTGCTTAATTTTTTTCGGTTTCCAGCAATGGGAAAATTATGCAAGAGCACATACGAAATTTCTATATGTATAGTATATTTGACCAAGGTGAGAGTTTGCAGGGTCTTTCTAAACGAAAAGCTGCATTTTAAGTGTTAAAATTTTTTTGAGTTTATCACTTCACGCAGATCGAGTTTTTTTTTTTGCGATTATTCATACACGTTCTCATGAAGCTTGCTTTGCTGTATCGAAAGATATATTTCGGATTTTATCACTTCTCTACCGCTTCAGATTAAGGGACATGCATTAATTTTGCATCAACCTAACAAAACGTGCAAAAAAGTGTTGTTATTGTAAGTCACCAATATTGTAGCCATTTTGCGCAGGTGTTTTCAATCTGAATTCATATTCCACGAATTCTACGTTGCTAAGAGCGAGCTTCATAGCCACAACTATGATCAAAATCATTTCGCTATTTCAGTTATTCTTTGCAGGGAAGCTTACAACAGGTGACCAGATCATAAAAGAAAGTCAAGATTCAATCATCAGCTGCATTTAATTTCACGAAGCTCTTGCTGATAAACATGACTGTCTGCTTCATACAAAAATAACTGTCTCCAGTTGTCATACCAACACAACCACTAATCAAAAGCTTCTCAAAAGCAACGCAGTACCTGTTCTAGCAGATTCCTTGGCAAAAACGTCAAAATACTATATTTTGTAGTGCTAATCCTGTTATCAGCGTATCTCCTATTCGGGTGTTCGTACCTACGAAGATCAACATTGGAGGACGAAACAATAGGCATTTAAATTATTTCTGACCTTGGCGGAGGTTCTGCCTGATTGTTTGGCGTAACGGTGCGGTATGCCGGAAGTACGGTGTCGTTTCCGAATATCCACCGCGTCCATCGATATCGTTTCAGGATTCGACCACCAGTCTCGGCTTTTTCCCGAATCACTTGCGAGGGGCTCGAAAATATGGGCCTGAAAATTTTCACAATTTTACTACTCAAAAAGTAATACCAGAAGGAGGAAAAGTTGTAGGAAGTGCGTTTTCTTTACATGTGTTTGCTTTACTTGAAACGAAAGAGTGGTGTCGTGATGCTCCATGAATAAAACTGGAAAAAAGGATTTTTGGAGAAACAGTAGAAGAATGGGAAGAAGTGATTGGTTTTGATGGAAAATTGACAAGATTTCTGATATCTGGTATGTAATATTAATTGCACACAAGGGCGCCATTCTAGTCGTGATGCATAAAGTCTAGACTATAAAAAAATCCAGTAGAACAGAAAAAAGACGTTAAATCAATAATGGTAGGAAGAGGAACTTGATTTTTTCGTACAAAATTTTGATGTGGGATAAATCACCTCGAAGGAGGAACCCATAGCGATGAGGTCTTCCTATGATGGGCTTTGACGGAATCCTGAGACGATTGCGATGTGGACGCTTGTTGTGGATCCGTGTACACCTTCATTTGACAGTCAATGATGTTGCTTTACAACCTACATCGACATTAGTCCAGGGCACTTCTGGAACATAAACGGGATAAAAATAGTTCGTCCCGCGGTACGATGTGTAAACGAGCCATTCACGATGATACAACAACTTTTAATGACCAAAGTAACTACTTGTAATCAAGTGGGAACAGTGCAAACTGGAAGTGGAAACGGGGAAAGAAGAAAGTACATGATGCAATAAATAAATGGACAATTTTCTAAGGTATATAAAGAACGTATAAAACGCTAAATGAGGAGCATGTGGTAATCGCTCAAGGTCAACGGTAATTTCAAAGATGTTTTCAAAACTCGCGATGTATGCGGGTGTCAAAGTTTTGACAATATTCAAATGTTAGGACGCTTTTCGATACGAAATTTGAAAAGGAATGAAGGAAAGAAAATTTCTTTTAGGTTTTTGAAAGAAATCATGGTTTGAGGCCTGATCAGGTCCAGTATGAAACAGCTAAAAAAAAGTACTATGTTAGAAAAGCAATGGTCGTAAACAAGTAGAAAATAATCAGGTCCACAGGACCGATCGAATGGAAAAAGAATGGGAGTTTTGAAAGAATTTCTAGTTTGCGCTGCGCAGTCTTGTTTCTGGCAGTTGTATTTTCTAAGGTAGTACAAAGACATCTACAAATGTAGATATAATGCTTCAGCATTAGCATAGCATTGGAAATATGGTTGCCTTGCAATTACTTTAAACAAGTTAAGGATGAAACTTCAATCTCACAAAGCTATAAAAATATGTGCGAATTCGTATGGGACTTGTGGCTGATGTGTCAGCATTAATTGTAGGAGTAAAAACTTGTCTTCCATTAATGGAAATGGTAGAAATAGATGGAAGGGCGCGAATGCAATGTAAAAGTAATCTGCAAGGTGAAATGCAGCCTTGAGAGGGAGAGGTGGCGAAGAATTTGATAAAAACTTCCAATAATGGAGATGAACAAACGATGATTTGATTCTAACTTGGCAATATGGAATAGGACTATAGTCATAGCACATAGTCTTGCAACACATTTTCAAAAGTGAATGAGTTCTGCTTTTGGTACAGGAACTTAATGGAATGGAATCAAAAATATAACGATTTTTAGAGAAACCACAAAAAAGTAACATAAGATTCAGTCAGTTTCAGATAGCCACAATCTTCTTTATGTTGCTTTCTGTTTTTCGAGGAGATTATGCAAATTATACATGGGCATGTGCTCGTTGCATGTGTGATTGCTAGTCTCAAAAAAAACATTTACAGTTTTTTTACAATAAAAACTCGTGACGTCAAAATAACAATGGATTGAAAGAAACTCTACAGCAAAAGTGTTTCGACCTACTTGAGAAAACTCCCTCTTGCAGTCTAAGGAGCGAATTTCGATCTTAATTTTCGGATTTTGATCTTGATAAAGCTATGAAAGGTGGATAGTCGACTATTATAGAACATACAGTAAGCAGCAATGGGTTCTCAATAGAATATAGGCCTGAACATTGGTCGGCGTTTTTCATAACTTCGTAAACAACTACAGAGCGCTTACGAGCACCAAGGCAACCAGTATGTCTGATTTCTGTTCTTTGTAAACTTCTGCTGAATCAGTCTTCCTATTATGTAAGTTTGCAGAAGTGGCAATCGCGAAAATTCATCTCTGGGGAAGGGTGTGAGAAATATTTCTCGAGTGAAAAGAGTTGAAGTGAATCAAACGACCCCTAAAATCCTTGAGAAGCCCATACATCGAAATCTTGTGAAAGAGGGCATTGTGTAATTAACGCATCCGAAGTCTTACAATGAGCCCCAAAAAAATTCAAAATCCATACTTATTGACGACATAAACGCTCAAATTTTTGATTCATGTAGACCACATCTAGGAAAAATTCGTCACTATAGATTGTAAAGTTTTCATGAGAAGTTATTGTGATTTATGAATGAAAGTAGAATAGGCTATGGTGTCAGCTGATATAATAAACCCCAGGAAATCGTATATGCACTCTTCATTCAAGAATAGTTTAGCGTGATACCAGTCTGAGGAGTTAGCCGTGGCATAAAATGATATTCGAATTTATCCTGATCCAGCCAACGATATTCATGCAGTCATCCGTTCAGTTTGCAGTGATATATTCAAAAATAGAAAGCTTGTTAGGGTACAAGAAATTGGACAAAACATAGATTGAGGTGTAAAAATGATTCTGAACTGCTAACTCAACCACAAAAACCAGTCATGTAAAATTGTCCCGAGAGTTTTCCACTTCACAAATTCTTGCATTGAGAGTCAAACTGAAAGGTCAAGATTCAAGCACTTTTGTATCTCGACACGTGTGACATTGAGTACACAGACATCCCACAGGAATTGCTCTCCGCTGCTGATAATGTTTGAAAGGGAAAAAAGATTTCAGGCAGAAGCGCAGGCTCAGATTTTGAAGGCTTGAAAATACTCTTTGTAAAGTTAGTGATGATGATCTTGCAAAATCAACAGAATTCCTTTTTTCCTGAAATACAGGAACGTTTCATTCTATTTTTCTATCTACATATTGATAAATGATCATCTATACGTAAATAATTTACTAAGAATATCACCATTGTGTTTTCAATATTCAGACATATTCATAAAATAATGAGTAAATCTACGACGTCATACATAGTTTGAGAACTACCAGCCACTCCTTCCCTAGCAATAAGTTCCGAGGAGGGCCAGAAAAACCTGTACTTCTTTCAAGAGAGGAAACGAAACGGAGTTTAGTAATCATATTGTCCGATTAAGTATTTATTCTAACTACTATTAGTGCTAGGATATCCCTTAGTAGAATGGTCAACGATGGTCCGCAAAGTTGGAATTGCATTGGATTAGGAATTGGAAATTAGAATTCGATAGTTGGAATAGACGCAGCATCAGCAAAGCCCTATAACGAAGTGATGCAAGAAGCCAAGAAGTTATCGCATAAAGTGTTGGCGTAATCACTAGAAGCTGTATGTGCATAACTGTTCGCTGCTGACTATCATAAGATCATCTGTACAATAGAGAAAGAAAACAAATTATTCATCTTCTCCGTTTTGTTCATATCACTATGCGAAAACAAGATTGAGGTACAGTTTTCCTAGATATTATCAGTAGCGAAGGTGGGAAATAGGAAATACGAGAAACTTACAAAAAAATGCCTAACCAAAACTTTTGAATGCGTCTCGCTCTTTCAATCAAAGGCAGAGTGATGTTCCACAAGAGATGATGACTTGTTGTGCATATATCATATAAATAGATCAAACATTTGAAAGTAAATTTGGCAGTCAAGAAACATTAGAACAAAATTTTGCATCATTCTTCATATTTTCCCTTGCTAACTATGACGCACTTGAAATTTCAAGGCAACTCATATAGATAAAAACAAAATTGGAAGAAAACAAGTGCTGCATTTATAGCTCACATCATAGTCTACTCAGAATTTTGGGGAGCCACAACAAAACGAGAAAAGCCAAGGAAAAATTTGCAACACTCAATTTCCATCCCAACAAACTGCAGAATGTGAAGGCCTAAAGAGTAGCTGATTGTTGTATTGTTTTATATTGAAGCTTGAAGCTCTCTTGAGAGAATGAGTGAGATGTGAAGAATAAAATTTGACCTCACAAATAATTTATGGTTTTCTCTTAATTACCATAGGTTCACTTCGAGTTATTTCTTTTTTGTGCTGAATAACTACCAAGATTGAAATGATCAAAATTTACAGGATATAAACATAAAGCTAGCGATGTGCTCTTGTGACAAGCATCAATAGGACTAGCTCTAGTGTACAACCCTACAGCAAGTGTAAACCCCGACTTCTAAGACATCTGTGATGACATTAAGTGTTCAAGTTTAATAACAGAAAAAGCACAACAATTAAAATCGCAGTGTTTGCATGTGGCAGGAAAACAGATGAAGTGCAATCAAGAAAGTTGAAATAACAAAATTCAAAGATTAATCCATTTTTTATATTCTTGAGATGCGGATTATATAATAGCTAAACATTACTTTGCCAAAAAAACTATCATGTACTAGAATTTGTGCTAAAAAACATTGTTGGTAAACTTACGGAGTACAAAATGCCAAAAAAAAATTTACAGGTCAAATCGTACAAATTGCGGATAGATGCTGTTAAAATTATATTAGGTTGTCCCGAAAGTTTGACGGTTTTATTCTCATCGCTCACCAAAACCCACAGAACACGATTCCATGGAACGATCTAATTGCCAACTGATCCAGATTTTTATCCTCATTCTTATAGCTAAATTTGCTCTCTGATCTATCCTGCCTTTGCGATGTTATCGCCGTTACATTTTAAGCAGCTCAACAGTAATGCCAAACCTTTCCTAATTTTTAAATTTTCCTCCTGCTATTTTCAAAGAGCGCTTTTAACTTTTATGTAGCGCAAAGCTTCGGCTACATCCTACTTATTTTGGATTACATGGGCCACGTTTATCGTCCTTAATAAATATTTATTTGAGAAAAACAGCGGCTTTCTGATTAGATCAAAACTGATTTTTCAAACCAAATCAAACTTGGTTATGCTGCATAAATAACGTTTATCAACAATCAAGTCTCAATTCGCAGAAATTTCAAAAGCTTTCATGTTTTTGCTGAAGTCGCTTATTCCATGACTTCGTCAAAATCGAGAACTCCGAAAAAGTAATTTTTTAAAGCTAAAAATAAAAATTTTACTGTATAGTCCGAGACATGTTCTATTTGTGATACACTTAACCCTTTCTGGAACTTTGAAATGAAATTTTCAAAAATTAGCCTAACTTTGAGCAGATAAAAATGATAGGTAACGAAATGTGACAATTTTCAAAAAAGGATAGAGGATTGTGACTCAAAGACGTGAAGGTGAGAAGGAGGAGGAAAGGCTGCATCGAAGGCATGTTGGAACTCACTCAGGTTCTATTATGGGTTTTATAGGGGTTTGAAAAAACGGACAAAACTATCGGGACAACCTGATATTAGGTTGGTGCAAAGTTTTTGTCGTTTTTGATTCACATGACATCGACAGTGAAATAAACAAACGAGTATTCGATGCAGATTT